AAAAAAAAGGTATCACGGTTTCCACAAAAGCATTAAGCAGAACTGTGTTCAACGTTGATAATAACAGAAATGTTTCTTGAGCCCAAAATCAGTATATTAGAATGATTTCTGAAGGATTATGTGACACTGAAGACTGCAGTAATGACTGCTTTACCATCACAGGAATAAATTACATTTTAAAATATATTTATATAGAAAACAGTTTCAAAATATTTCTGTTTTTACTTTATTGCTGATAAAATAAATGCAGTTCATTATAAGAGAAAACAAGATGACATGCACATACCTGCCAGGCAGCTCTTTTAATGCTCTTTCATAGATCATATTGAGCACTGATTTCTGAGCATTTTGCTTGTGCTCAATGTAACGTATCCAGCATTTGACTGAATACGGATTCCTGATAATTTCTTCTTCATAAGGCAAATCATCATCTTCCTGCAATATACGAATGACTCAATTATAGGTACAACGATGAATGCAAGCTCAAAAAGATGAAGTTATGTTAGGGAACTAGAAATATATCGAGCATTATCACATTTGCTCGCTTAAAATGGTTATTTAATTTCAAATACATTGTTAGTAACATATATGCTACTAACAACTGTTACTCATTCAGTCTATTATTAAATACGATGTTAACCAATGAAAACGACACAACAACACAGTTCGTGTTTGACAGGTAATAAATAACAGAAGTTAGTAAATAAAATCTTAAAACACTATTTTTGTATATTGGTATCTCATACTGTTAGAGTTAGCAAGCTAATCACAGCTAGCTGAGAACAGACTCTATTAAAGGTCACAAACCCGACTTTAAAAACACAAATACATACGAATAAAACGTCTGACTTTCCGCTAAGCGTTGGCATTTTCCTTTGCCAGAGAAAATCCGTGTAATATTGTTAAAAACTCAGCGTTATTCTTGACAAAAACAAATACTTTCACAGCGTGTTGGGAACGTTGAGTACAAAAGCCCCGCCTTTTCCGAGTGAAGTCGATTCCTATTGGCTGTCGCTTCCATAGCTTGCTACAATACGGTGGCCCGGGAGGTTGCGTCAAAATTTCTCCTCTAGAGGGAGCCTCTAGGATTAGGGCGTTTTTTCATTTATGCCAATGTAAGAAAGGTTTTGCCATTTTTCTGTGAGCAAAAATGTTTTATTAGATAAGTAACTGTAGGAAACATAACTGATGGTGATAGTTGAGAGTTTCCTTGTGAAAAAGAAGTGCGCTAAATACATCTTTAATAAACTGTACTTGCAGATCGTAATATTGGCCAATGGCCACATCTGAAATGGGCCATATCATTAATTTTACCTGAGCAGTTTCGCTCAGTTACGCTCATTCAGTGACCTGCGTTTATTGCATGTACAGAAAAAAAAGATAATGTAAGTGCATGCACAGTTCAGTTGAATGATATTTGCCCTCTTTAATGACGTTAAATTGAATATAAGCAGTAAACTATTTTCTTAAATATCCACACAATTAACAACAACACTGAAATAGCGGGAGCGTGCAGTTTATCTGTCAATCAATTGCAAAGACCCTATGTAGAAATGCTATTAAATGTGGGGTATATATTGTATAATTCACACCCTGTGTATCAACCGATATTTGTGTGTTGGTGCTGCAACAACAGATTATGTTTATGTTTAAAGTTTTATAGATCAGTGTCCGGAACTACGACGGCGTTTTAGTGCTGTTTTTCCACCATTAAAAAGGTTTTTACACTTAATGAAGTTGTTAGTAATTTTGGAAAACATGTTTAAAGGCATGTACATTTGCAGGAGATCAATATCAGTATCCTAATTGGATGATGATTTATTTTTCATGAAACATGAACAGCACAGGTAACGCTAATTTTAAAAACAGACATAAAGCTTCACACAATTGTCAGAGATTGTCAAACACAACAGAAACAGCACAAGCCTATTTGATCATTCATCACAGCAGATAAAAAAAACACCTTCACTTAATACAGACACACAAATAAAATACATTTCAGTCAGTCAGTTTACTCAAACCCTGAGCCATGAAACAAAAACAATACAGAATACATTTCTAAACAGTATGTTAATTTCCAGTGTGAACATAGCTTATTTTGACATGCTATTTGATCTAAAAACCAACATGTTAAGCTTATTTGTAATACTGACATTCATCCAGGTGATGTGAAACCAGAATATATGAACATGCATAGCGTCCTATTTTCTCTTTTCTTTGCTTCCCTCCTTTTTTTCTTTCTTTCCACTACTTTTTCCTTTTCCCTTCTTAGCCTCCTTGTTCGGCTCTGCTCTGTCCCGTATGTTATTCTGTTGCAGCTGAGTGGTGTGGACTCTTTGTTTCAGAGAGAAGTAGTCCTCATATGGGCCCATTGGACTAGCCATGTCTCCTGGGTGTGGAGAAGAGGGTCTCGAGTGTCCCTGATTGTCAGGAGACCTGCACTCAAAAAAATGATACGTTGGATTTACTTAACATTTCTATGTCAACAGGTTACACATAACTGGGTTATGTTGCATTTAATTAACATGATTTATTTCAGTAAACTTAAGTTTATTACATAAGGTTCATTCAATGCCATTTAGTTGAATCAGTTCGTAATTTCGCCCAAAACTATTAAGTTCAATTACCCTAAAAATTATTATCAAACAAAAATTAAAACAAGTAATCCAGTTTAATTGATTAGTTTATTTAGTAAATACATTCAAGAACAATTTGTTTTACAAATGTTATCTATCAAAAACTGTGTAAAGACTTTTATTGTTAGGCGTTGGCCAGAAGATGGTTTTGTTACATCCATGGCATGCCCAAAGTAGTTTGTTTTTAATTATTAAAACAACTTTTGTTGTTAGCAGGTCCTCAACCCAAGCACATGCTCTACACTTCACCACAGCGGTAACCCCCAAAAACATGAATATACCAGAAACGCTTTTAAATACAAACATAAAAGAACATTAAACATTAACAAGTCTCCCAATTGTATCATCTTGATAAAAAAAATGCATAAAGTAATATTTTATTTCAACATTTACTCTCCCTGTGCAAAGCAAAATTAAGATATTGTTCTTTCAAAATTAAAATATAGAGTTGAGTCAGTTTGACACTATACAATGCACAATATACAACCAATGGGTGTTAAATGAAAATGATTTTTTTTTTTTAAATAAACTGAACAGTATCGTAAAATAATTTTTTTGAGTGTGTGAGGAGACACGGACCTGGAGCGATGCTGTCTGTGTGGGTTCACATTGAGAGTGAGCGGTCTGCCAGGCCTAGGGCTGAGAGGAATTACTATAGCCTCCCCTGGTTGTCCGATTGTGAGGAAGACTTCAGGGAATGGACACGGCTGGTTATTTGCTCCATGCGTCTGAAAGAGACACAAAAATTTACATTACACATTAGACTTCACACTGTTGATGCACTTGAATAATTAGTATTTTTGGTCAAAGATGTGGTGGTCACCTCTATGTGGTGTTTTGATTATATTTTGTTGTACATTTTGTCACCATTACAGTGATTAGTGTTCTTATTTTAGCACATATAAACAATGTGCTTTAGTGTTTAGAAGTCATTGTATATAAACTTTTCGGTTTGCTAAACAATCTGATGCACAAGTTAGACTTCCACATCACGTAAAAAAACAATATTATTTTTGAGTTCATAGAACTTAGCTTATTGTGTTTGATGAAGGCACAGACCAACTTTGAGTTGATACAACAATTTTTCCATAAGCGGAGTAAACTCACAAAAAAAAAAGTCCTGAAGCTGGTTGCCTCAAGTTTTTACATTTTCTCAGCTTCTGATTTATTTTACGGTCTAATGTTCAATCATAAATAAGTAGCCATCTGGAACAGGAAAACACTGTTTTAGTGGCCTAAGTTTCATTTGAGCTGACCAGCTTGTGTCCATCGCTTGCTTAAAGATGTGCAAAGTTTTACTTAAATGTACTTAAGTTTTACTTAAAGAAATTAATAGCACTTTTGGCAAATACTGTTGAAAATGATGTATATACACAAACCATGAAGCCTACAAAATGCAATTTGGTTTTATATAAAAATTCAAGTCTTTTCTATACAAACAGAAAAGTTCATAGTGACCAAGATGTTAAGCTACGAATATGACGGCAAAAAAAATATATAAAAAATCAGACCAAATTTTGTGTCTTTATTTACTAAGAGTCTTCCCATGCAGTGAGCTGTTAACTCAGGAACATTTTCGGTCCTTTTTGGAGCTTGAAAGCTTTGGGTCCCATTGACTTTCATAATACTGACAAAAACAGCTGAAACATTGTGACCTATTTTGGTCTGTTCCTCACACAAAGCCATCGTATGACTTCAAAAGAGTTCTATGGACTACTTTTATAGTGCTTTTTGTTTCACATTTTTATTGTGCACATATCACGAAATGTATTTAGAGAAATAATAATCACTTTCATTCTGTAAACAATTTTTGTGGTCATCTACAGTACCTACCTGATGTGGAGGGAAGCACATGGAAATTTGAAATGATATCTGTAAAACAAAAGTGTGCTTACAATTAATATCAACCACTTCAGTTGAATTTTTAGGGATGAAAAGCAAAAATAGATGCAGTACAAAATCCCTCACCTGCGCAGACATGTCATCATGTAGTAATCTCTCTGGAGAACATGAGGCCGATCTGGGGGGAGGCCTGACAGGTGGGTCTGATTCACTGACGCTCAGAGTGGGAGAGGAAGGTCTGGAACAAACTTTTTTTGGCGGAGCAGGTGACGCAGGGGTCAGGATGATTTGAGGGGCTGATGTTTTATTGTTATCTATCAAAAACTGTGTAAAGACTTTTATTGTTAGGCGTTGGCCAGAAGATGGTTTTGTTACATCCATGGCATGCCCAAAGTAGTTTGTTTTTAATTATTAAAACAACTTTTGTTGTTAGCAGGTCCTCAACCCAAGCACATGCTCTACACTTCACCACAGCGGTAACCCCCAAAAACATGAATATACCAGAAACGCTTTTAAATACAAACATAAAAGAACATTAAACATTAACAAGTCTCCCAATTGTATCATCTTGATAAAAAAAATGCATAAAGTAATATTTTATTTCAACATTTACTCTCCCTGTGCAAAGCAAAATTAAGATATTGTTCTTTCAAAATTAAAATATAGAGTTGAGTCAGTTTAACACTATACAATGCACAATATACAACCAATGGGTGTTAAATGAAAATGATTTTTTTTTTTTTTATAAACTGAACAGTATCGTAAAATAATTTTTTTGAGTGTGTGAGGAGACACGGACCTGGAGTGATGCTGTCTGTGTGGGTTCACATTGAGAGAGAGCGGTCTGCCAGGCCTAGGGCTGAGAGGAATTACTATAGCCTCCCCTGGTTGTCCGATTGTGAGGAAGACTTCAGGGAATGGACACGGCTGGTTATTTGCTCCATGCGTCTGAAAGAGACACAAAAATTTACATTACACATTAGACTTCACACTGTTGATGCACTTGAATAATTAGTATTTTTGGTCAAAGATGTGGTGGTCACCTCTATGTGGTGTTTTGATTATATTTTGTTGTACATTTTGTCACCATTACAGTGATTAGTGTTCTTATTTTAGCACATATAAACAATGTGCTTTAGTGTTTAGAAGTCATTGTATATAAACTTTTCGGTTTGCTAAACAATCTGATGCACAAGTTAGACTTCCACATCACGTAAAAAAACAATATTATTTTTGAGTTCATAGAACTTAGCTTATTGTGTTTGATGAAGGCACAGACCAACTTTGAGTTGATACAACAATTTTTCCATAAGCGGAGTAAACTCACAAAAAAAAAAGTCCTGAAGCTGGTTGCCTCAAGTTTTTACATTTTCTCAGCTTCTGATTTATTTTACGGTCTAATGTTCAATCATAAATAAGTAGCCATCTGGAACAGGAAAACACTGTTTTAGTGGCCTAAGTTTCATTTGAGCTGACCAGCTTGTGTCCATCGCTTGCTTAAAGATGTGCAAAGTTTTACTTAAATGTACTTAAGTTTTACTTAAAGAAATTAATAGCACTTTTGGCAAATACTGTTGAAAATGATGTATATACACAAACCATGAAGCCTACAAAATGCAATTTGGTTTTATATAAAAATTCAAGTCTTTTCTATACAAACAGAAAAGTTCATAGTGACCAAGATGTTAAGCTACGAATATGACGGCAAAAAAAATATATAAAAAATCAGACCAAATTTTGTGTCTTTATTTACTAAGAGTCTTCCCATGCAGTGAGCTGTTAACTCAGGAACATTTTCGGTCCTTTTTGGAGCTTGAAAGCTTTGGGTCCCATTGACTTTCATAATACTGACAAAAACAGCTGAAACATTGTGACCTATTTTGGTCTGTTCCTCACACAAAGCCATCGTATGACTTCAAAAGAGTTCTATGGACTACTTTTATAGTGCTTTTTGTTTCACATTTTTATTGTGCACATATCACGAAATGTATTTAGAGAAATAATAATCACTTTCATTCTGTAAACAATTTTTGTGGTCATCTACAGTACCTACCTGATGTGGAGGGAAGCACATGGAAATTTGAAATGATATCTGTAAAACAAAAGTGTGCTTACAATTAATATCAACCACTTCAGTTGAATTTTTAGGGATGAAAGGCAAAAATAGATGCAGTACAAAATCCCTCACCTGCGCAGACATGTCATCATGTAGTAATCTCTCTGGAGAACATGAGGCCGATCTGGGGGGAGGCCTGACAGGTGGGTCTGATTCACTGACGCTCAGAGTGGGAGAGGAAGGTCTGGAACAAACTTTTTTTGGCGGAGCAGGTGACGCAGGGGTCAGGATGATTTGAGGGGCTGATGTTTTATCGTTCTCTCTCTTAGTTCCAGTGCTGGAGTTCTGGATGCCTGGCAATGCACTGAGTGTCACGCGCTGGTCATCCAGTCGTCCGCTCTGAAAGTTGGCCACCATTCTGAAAAACTGCTCAGGATCTTCCGCTGCATGCAACAAGCCAGAACAGTGTGAAATATTAGGATTTCTATGTTTTTTTTTTTTTATATAATGAGCAGGTCATTAATAATCAGCAGACTTTGGTTACCTGTGGGACTAGCGTTTGGATTCTTTGGAGAGGAGGAAGGGTTTTTAAAGGGTTCAAATGAGCACCGCTGGTCATCCATTCGCCGATGCTGTGCATGATGCAGCAGGGAAAAAAGATGGTCCTGATCAATACTATTTTGTACCTGATTCAGAGAAAGAAAACACTATATGAATCGATCTGAATGTCATTTGTATTTGATGTTCAGAAGCATTCTACCTTCACAGGGACATCATTTGGTTTACCATATGAAAACTGCCTGTGGTAACTGACAGCATGACACAAACTTAACTTGTTTTGAACCCAGAACATCTTTCTTCATTGAAATTGTCAGTTCTTCTTTACAATTAAAGAATGAATCTCATTTTTATATTGTGTGAACTAATCCAAGAGCTACATAATAAAGAGCTATATAATTTTTTATGTTGCTAACTAGAACAAAATATATATATAATTATACATATATACAGTACTGGTCAAAAGTATAGATTTTTTTTATGTTTTTGTAATTAATTCCTGTTATGAGAAAGCCGAATTTTCAGCAACCATTATGCCAGACTTCAGTGTCACATGATTCTTAAGTAATTATTCTGAATGTAAGTCAGATTGGAGTAATGATGCTAAAAAGAAACAGAAATAAATTACATTTGAACATTTATTTAAATAAAAAGTTATTTTAAATTGTTATTTTAAATACTGTTTTTACTGTATTTTTGATCAAATAAATGCAGCCTTTGTGAGCATAAGAGACCCTTCATTATTCAACTGACTGGTATTGTAAAGTATATCAAATTTTAAATATATACAATGTCTGTAGCATCTTTGTCACTTTAAGTGGTACTGTTATGCTAAACTGGTTATAAATAATGTTTATAACCTATAAAAAGGTTATGCAGTGATTTTTAACATTTTATTCAGAAATGCCTGTGCTGCAGTTGGATGCTGTCTGGATTGATCTGTGCAGTGTGGTTGGCTCACCTCAGAGTCAGGACTGAATGATCCTGATCTCCGGGATGATTTAGTGGGTGAGCCTGATTCAGACAGACGGTTAGTCGGGGATACGGGTTGAGAATAAGACTTCTTTGGGGGGGCAGGAGACCCCAGGTGGATTTTGGGAGCAGAGCAGCGCTGATCATCTATCCGAGAGCCCTGCCAAAGAGAAAATAATACAAGAGTGCATTGTTATCACAGAGTGCTTTTAAATAAATGATAGTCTAACCAGGTTTCTATTTCTGGGCATGTACCAATTATGGAAACAGGAGAGCGCTAGTAAATGTTGATTAAGCCCTTTTATGCTGTCCTATATTTGGGCTCTTGTTAGAGCTGGGCATAGTCTCACAAATCTAGCATTCATCATATTTTCCTTGATTAGTTTTTTTAAATAAAAGAGTTAAATGTATTATGAAAACATACTGCAATTTTTTGTGGAAACTGGGTTACACTTTTTAGGATTCTTTGATGAATAGTTAAAAATGACAATATTTACGTAAAGTAGAAATCTTCTGTAACCTTATAAATGTCTTTACTGTCACTTTTGATCAATATAATGCATCCTTGCTGAATAAAAGTATTAATTTCTTTTCTTTTTTTATTACTTACTGACCCCAAACTTGTGAATGGCAGTGTATAATGCCTTTAAATGATGAAGGCAACATATCAACGCTTTACTCGCCTGTATTCTAGAGACCATGCTGAAGAGCTGATCTGAATCCTGAGCAGTCATACCATGAGGCGATTTTATCTCTGGCAACCGGTTTAGCGTTGCCCGCTGGTCATCTAACCGGCCATTTTGGGTGTTAGCAATGAGTTTAAAAAACTTCTCAACATCTTGATCTGTTTTGAAGGTGTAGAGAAACAGAAATCGCACTGATTGGTTTGCCCTTTGATAAATTAGATTTTTGATCAATTTGAATTTGATAAATTATAACAGCTGGCTGACTTACCTGACTGGCTGTTATCCATATGTCCGGTTGATAAAGGGTTAATCGAGCAGCGTTGTTCATCCATACGTCCACTTTGTGCTCGACTAACTAGACACAACAGCTGGTCCTGCTCACGCTGATGGATTTAGAACAAGAATAACAGGCTTTTATACTTGTTAGTAGGAAGCTTGGAGAAAAAGTATGGCTTAAGTGTCCAAGGCTGCTGTAAATATTCATGCTCACTTGAAATCTTTCACAGTCCATTCTGTCCTTGTCTGATATAGGGTTGAATGAGGCTGATCTGGTTGTGAGTGTGTTATAGGTGGCTGAATCAGCAGTAGCTTGAGGACTGAAGCTTGATCTTCTCATAGAGCCCTGGGCCCCAGGGGTCAGGCTCATTTTTGGAGGGTTGCGTTTCTTGAAACTCTACATGACAGGTAAAAAAAAAAAAAAGTTCATACAATACTTTATTCTTAAACCTTTCATATATATGAAAAAAATTATGTAGCATTTACTTGAAAAAGAAACAATTTTCACTCTAAAATTGCTAGTCAATTTCACAAATAATTACAGAGAAATTGCAAGTAACACACTGACATTTTGAAATAGAAAGTAGCATTTTCTTGTAAAAAGCCTAAAACTAATCATCTTTATTTACAACATTGAAAAATAATAGTTTTTTACAGTGTAGTGTTATATAGACTTAATAGATGCCTACAGAGTTGTCTGGAAAACTCACATGAGCTCTGCTGACCATGCTGCAAATCTGATCAAAGTTTGTCTTCAGTACATTTCCATCTTTTGGATTTTTGACCGTGAATGCCTCCATCCCTGGCAATGAGTTAAGCGCCACCCGTTGGTCATCTAATCGTTGACATTGACTCTTGACCAGCAACTGGAAAAACTCATCGGGATCTGGTGCAGAACATGCAGAGAACATGTATAAGTTACTTTTAAGGCAAGATACTACATTGTTTGCTCAGGCACTGGTAAATTTTGAGATTTTGGACTCTTTTGCTTCCATAACTTGTCTTCATTCAGACTAGTGGAAGGCAAACATCTAAAATACACATTTAAGTGTTATATTACACTTTACTCATCTGCATCTGTAGATTTCAATTACAATACATATATTTAAAAGACAGTTTTCTTTTCTCCTGCACTGAGCCAGAAATCACCACTTCAGCATTGTTTACATACACCAAACTTCACCGTTTTATTCTCGAACATATATTCTGAAGGTTGTTACAGAGGGGTTTGTTCATATATCATTCATTCATCTGAAACATGTTTTTTTTTCCTGGCTATTGACAGTTATACAGTTATTGTTTTCTGATTTATTAAGTGATAAATCCAAAACCCCTCTGTAAAAAACTTTTACTCCAATAAATGAATTAACAAAATGAAACAAGAATTTGAACCTGGCTTTATCCAATGTTCAGATTTCCGTTCTGGAAATGTGTGTAAATGAGTGCATATTTAATTAGAAAATACCTAATTTGCATATTTAAATATAACATTTCAGAAAACACGTAATACAAAACGATTATCTTAATGTACTGTGATCAGATGTGTAGGTGTGGGGATATTCACCTTACCCTGCCTTATCTTGCCTTAATAAATACATACTACTAATAAGGAGGATCATTTAAAAGATTAATGTGAAAGTAAATAAATTTTCAACAATTAACTCATATCTTGATCACAGGATCTGACCTGGGCTGTTGGCATGAGCTTGTTGAGGTGTTGTTGGACCCAAGGTACAGCGCTGTTCATCCATTCTTCCACGCTGAGCTTTACTAACCAGGGAAAACTACTGATCCGGTTCGACTGGCACTTGCTGTCAAGACAAAAACAACTGATTCAGTTTTAACATTTTTTAACACTGACTCTTACATTATACAAAATGTAAAATAAAAAGTATGAAATACCTCAATTTTGTCCGCCATATACATCATCTCCAATTCTACAATCTTCATCTGGATTTTCTTCTTATTAAAATACAGATATCAGTGCATACTTCATCAAAACAAGTATTCAAATGTCAGTCATGCTGCGCTCTCGTACTTCTGTACGAACTTGCGAGCGATCTTCTCTCTAGAATGAAGTGATGGATGGAGAGCTTTTAGAAGGTCTTAAGCTCTGAATATAAACCACACAGCCATTAGGAAACCGTCTTTAATCCCAGATAAAACCAGTTAATCCTCTCTATCATACAGTCATGATCTTTTATCATGGGAGATGACAATCATTTGAGCAGTGACATCAATATCTCTCAACAGAGACCTGCTGACACCATCAGTCTGTGTTTAGGTTAATACAACTCTACACTCTTAAAAATAAAGGTGCTTCACGATGCCATAGAAGAACCTTTTTGTCTAAATGGTTCCATAAAGAACCTTTAACATCTGAAGAACCTTTCTGTTTCACAAAAGGTTCTTTGTGGCGAAAGAAGGTTCTTCAGATTATAAAAAGGTAAGAAAGAGATGGTTCTTTAAAGAACCTTTGACTGAATGGTTCTTTGTGGAACCAAAAATGGTTATTCTATGGCATCGCTGTAAAGAACCTTTTGAAGCACCTTTATTTTTAAGAGTGTATGGAACTGATTAATGGATTTCTGAAAATCAGCAGACAACAGGCTTAAATATTATGAATGTGATGTACAGGGAGAGTGAAATTTCAATCAAGAGTTGAGTTACAGGAAGTGCAGTTACAAATAGGTAACAGACATGACCTGGAACTCTTAAAAACTGTAAAATTAAGTGCTTAATTTTCAATTAAAATACTAATCGTTAACCTCAGAAAGTATACTATACTAGTATATCAGTATACATATATTATACTAAACAGACTAAATTATTACAATTTAAAATAAGTTTTATATTTTAAAATGTAATTTATATCTATGATATTAAAGCTGAATTTTCAGCATCATTACTCCAGTCTTCAGTGTCACATGATCTTTCAGAAATCATTCTAATATGCTGATTTGCTGCTCAAGAAACATGCATTATTATTATCAATGCTTGTGCTACTTCATGTTTTTTAAATTGTGCTACTTAATGTTTTTGTAGAAACCGTGACAGCTTTTTTTCAGGACTATAAAGTTAAAAACTATTTTTTACAAAAGCATTTATTTGAAATAGAAATCTTTTGTAACATTACTGTCACTTTTTAAAGGGGTCATATGATGCGATTTCAAGTTTTTCTTTCTCTTTGGAGTGTTACAAGCTGATTGTGCATAGATAAGATCCCTGAAGTTGCAAAGACTAAAGTCTCAAAACCAAAGAGATATTCTTTATAAAAGTTAAGACTCTGCCACGCCCCCCTAAAACAGCTAGTTCTAACACGCCCCCACATATCTACCTCACTATGTGGAAATATTAGCATAATGCCGCCCAAATGTGCACGCAAAGAAAAAAGGCGTGTACTGCATCTTTGCTGAATAAAGATATTCATTTCTTTAAAAAACTAAATACTGACCCCATTTTTGTTTTTTACGGTGGTCTACCTATATAAATCTTTCATTTAACAGAAAGCAAGACGAAAGTTGCTATACTCAAGCATCTCTTTCTGGAATGAGGTACAAGCTAAATTTATTTAGAATCATTAACACAGACAACAAACGAAAATACCCAGTGAACCACATCCACCTACATGTGATAACGTAACAGTAAAAGAAGAAAGTGCACAAGTTCAGAGCATGAATAACAAAAAGACATCTATACTGAGATGAAACCTCTGATGCCTTCACCAACACAGGAGCAGAAAATATAACAAAAACTGACTGAAAATCAGAAATAGGCAACTGTACTATAAGCAGGCTTATCTTGCTTTATCGTATAAGCAAAAACCTGCAAAAATCTACATTGTGCTGGCTTACAGTGGTAGTACGATTAAAACTAGAAATCCATTATGATCATTTGTTCCAGTCTAAAGAGATGTTCAAATCACATCAGAACGTGATAGGACTGATATTTAAATGGTGTAAGGCAAGATTTAATCCACTTATCTGCACAATTATAAGCCTTTGGCAAATGGGGCCTCAAATAATTTCACATATATCGTCATACATATATATCATTTTTCTTTTAAATTAAACATCAGTCTTCAACAGCTTTAATATATATATACATACATATACCACCAGCTTAACTTGGGTAATTAAAATGACTACTTTAAAAGACAGCAAATAATCAGTAAGCAAGATCGAAAATGTGTCTTTTTACTGGTCCTTTGAGAGAAACTTAACTTTCTGAGTATAAGGTTTCACATGAGTTCAGCGGGATGAATCTCTTCAGTCATGTACTGCTAAACGGGTGCAGGCTGGTCCAAATTCTTTAGGTCATTCAAAAAGTTGGTTGGAGAAAGAATGTGAGTTGATCCTGCCGAAGAAAACGATATTTGACATTTTAAACAACAATGAAAACAATAAATGCTGTGCGGTGAATTATGCAATACGCCGTAAGTCGTCTCCTCTCACCAATCAGAACCTCCCATTTGCCCTCGGTGGCCCGGGTCACTTCATAAGCGCAGCGCATCTCTGAATGTGTCACGCCGCCAATCACAAAGATGATGAGGCGCGGGCCGCTGCGGTACTCTGTGGCAGACTTGTTCTTGTGCCAGTGTCCAAACCGTGCGCTGCTGGAATAGGATTCGACAGTAATGTCAGACCACATGCAAAGTAGTGTGTCGTTTGTAGCACTGAAACCTCAACGGTTTAGTGCAAACCATGACTTGTCCAAAAAAATAAAAAAAATTCTGTCTATGGTTCATTTTTTATTTGTTTTCTGGGTGTATCCATGACTTAATACTGATATAATAAAAAAAAAAAAAGTGAAATTAGCCACATTGTTCGATCCTTTTAAATCTGTCCAATGAGTAATGCAAAAGAAATTCTAAAATAAAACATTAATGTTTGTTTTTTTGTTGGAATATCTGTACATTTGCATGTCTCCTAAGATCTAATTCAACCTAAATATTGTTTTTGTGTAAATTTCTGTGTGTATCCATGACTTAATACTCATATAATAAAAAATAAAAAAAAGTGAAATTAGCCACATTGCTTGATCCTTTTAAATCTGTCCAATGAGTAATGCAAAAGAAATTCTAAAATAAAACATTAATGTTTGTTTTTTTGTTGGAATATCTGTACATTTGCATGTCTCCTAAGATCTAATTCAACCTAAATATTGTTTTTGTGTAAATTAAGAAATATCATGCTTTATTGATTTTTTTGGTCTTTGTTTTTCAGTCATTGACCTTTAACAATGCATGTTTTAAAACCAAACTGTGTTGGACTTTCTTAATGAATACAAATTACTTCATTTCATTATTATTTTATTCATTTTTTTTATTTCATTATCATATCTTTATTTATGTTTAAATTTTTATTTTTACTCAATTAAATTGTGCATTTATTTATTTATTTTTCATTTCTTTCTCTGATGTCTCCTGTTCCAACTCAGATTGTGTGTAGGTAGTGTTAATTTTGTATATGGAGATCCTGGTACCACTGATGTGAAAATAATTAAATAAAATATAAAATAAAATAAATAGTGAGTGATACTACCAGTATTTACTCAGTTATGTACTCATAGTATTTAATGGTTACAACTTTACGTTTTTAAGTTCAGCTGCAAAAATTTATGAAATTATAACTTGAAATTTTCAGGTACAAATCCTCTGAATGACCCATATTGAGTTATAAATATTAAATTATATGGATATTAATTTAAGGTGATAATACCAATTACAACAAGCAATGAATTATATTTTTTCACAATATTACAAATGTAAATAGTAGAGGCCATTAAATTCTCTTTTTGGCTCGACATTGTCAGGTCAGGTGACTGTTTAGTCTAAAAGTTTAGAAACGGACAACACAAAAGCTGCATTATGATGTGTAATTGATCTGTTCAGTCACTACTGTCTCTTGTGTCTGTGCGGCTGTGAGCAGTGCTGGTACCTGACTGTAGTGGTTGTGGTGGTGATGGGGGCGGGATCAGACAGGAACGGCCATTGCTTCCTGTCACACTTGTCATCAATGATATTCTGCAGAGCCAAAGGAATTTAAATGAGAATAATTACATTCTTACATGATTATAAAAATATTACGGACAGCATTTCCTGACCTCCATCACATCTTTAAGGGTGGGTGTCCACCGGGAGAGCTGATACGTGGATTCTGTGCGCTCTTTCCTGTCAGGCAGAGTCTTACCAGCATTAGCGCCCTGAAAGACAAGGCCGAGAATATGTTAGTAATTTGGGTAACACTTTATTTTAAGGTGTCCTTGTTACACATGTTACATGTACTTACTATTATAATAACAATTAATTGTGCATAATTACATGCAAGTAACCCTAAGCCAAACCCTAACCATATAGTAAGTACATGTAGTTACTTAATATTACTCAGTACTTAAATGTATAATTACACTGTAACACCTTAAAATAACGTGTAACTGTAATTTGTTAACCTCCTTAGGCCCTGGACAGTTATTACCTGTGAAGAAAATCAGTACAGCTGTGTTCATGAATAAGGAAAGACAGAAATAAGGAAAGGAAAGACATCTGCAGACTGCATATCAGAGTGCCTCATCTTACCCCAGTAATGATGGGGCAGCCCAGGTGCTGCAGGTTGGTGATGATGTTCTTGTCCTGCTGCACGTTTGCGTGCTGGATGAGTTTTGTGAGGTTCTCTTCCCCAATGCCTGTGTGTAAGGATGAATCACATCTGATTAATTCATCGAGAGTTTAAGCTGTCAGTCTTAAATAAAGTCATGCATAAATGCAAGCATTCATACCCTTCTTCTTATGGAAGATGTACAGCAGTATGATGCGAATCTTGTCGTAGGGTTCGACCTCAGTGTTGAGCAGAACAGGAACGATACTCTTCATAGCATCTTTGATTGGTTCCCCCTCAGCATCTGATCCCATAGCCAAGTCCTACAGAGGAAATGCAAAATTACTTCTGAGAACATTACGGCTGAATAATGCATATCATTTATTAGCTATTTAATTATTATAATAATTAAACTTCATCATGCAACATTTTTTATGGATGTGAATGATACCTCAAATCATGCGGCTTGTTGGAGAGAGATGTTTTATTGCTGTTCTAAGTGATCAGACTGAGAATTTTTTTTTTATGTTATAATCTCACATTGATATAATCTAGTTATGATCTAGTTTCAAAAGTATGGGGTCGGTACGATTTTTAATGCTTTTAAATGAAATATCTTATGCTGCATTTA